CGACGGCCCGTTTCCTCTACTGTACATAGAGAGTGGAGTTTGTTGAAGTTCAGCTCAGAATGTATCTGATACTGTCAGAGCACCTTTAAGTTCAAAGTTTATCATACCTGTGAACTCATTTTCTGCAGCAATGGATCGATATTGTTATGAGCCTGAATGGAGGAGATGAGTGTGTGAAAAAAAAAGTGTGTGACAGTTTTTGTACAACCAAAGCTGTTGTGTTCAGTCATCATTTAGAGCTTGTATTCACATATATCGTCATAAGGGTTGCCGCCGTCTCATCCACGCTGCATGGTTTGCATAAACTGGGAGAGTACCAAATTATAAGGAAGTACTTTGCCGTGCCAAGAAGCACAGATTGTTTTGTGGTTATTTTTGAGAAGACCTGTTGTTAATTGCATATGATTGGATCAAGGTACCAGCGGTTTGGCGTGCGTAAAGGCGCACGGACATCTTAGTGTTTTACCCAGCTTAAGTATACATGCTCTTAGAAACACACAGTTCCCACAGTGCCACGACAAATAGGCTACACTGAATATGTCAGAACCACCTGTTCCCGACAAGTCATTTTTTATATAATGGAAATACGATGCAATGTGACAGAAGTGTGACCTGTTATTCGGTTTTTATTATTTTGTTCTGGTTATAAGAAACAAGATATGTATGGAGGCAAAAACAGGAACGTATACAGGGTTATTTTGCGGAATTGTGTTGAATTGTGCAAATGTGGATTAAATAGACCATTACTCCATACAGACAGTAGTACTGAATGTCATATATATATATATATATGAAAAGAAAATATATTCTTTAACATGTTAATAAAGAATTAACTAAAATAAAATAAATACCTAAACATCAATGCTGTAAAAAATACATTAACTACTATAATATAACAGCACATATCAGATGACACATTTGATCTGTCAGTCAAATATGCTACAACAACTTGCAACAATTTCAGGAGCACTTACAGAGCTAGAGCTAGTCCAATCAATAGCATTTCTCAGCACACACAGCTAGGCAAGCTGACCATGAGGAGATATTTGCTGAATTTGAAACAAGTATATTGGATTAGAATCACACACCTAGAATCACTTACCCTACCTTTAATCCTCATGTTTTAAGTCTGTTTTGTGGAAGTGCAGAATGTGATGTTTTAATACTTTTTTTCTTCCTTAGGTGTCTCCTTTTGGCCTTCTGCTGCTCAGAGGCCTCCCGATGACCCAGTTCCCCCTGGGCTTCAGGAGGTTGAGGTTGAGCCTGGAGAAAATGCCAGCCCACCACCACAAAATGGGATGGGGGGGCAACAAGGTCATGCTGTTCCTTTTCCTCTTTACTACGCTGTTCCTTACCCTGTTCACTATGCTGTTCCTGTTTATTACCCTGCTCCCTACCCTGTTCCCTATGCTGTTCCTTTTCTTCCTTTTGCTGTTCCGCATCCTCACCCTGATTACTTCCCTAATGCTGCTCCTGCTTTTCCTCATGCTGATCCTTATGCTGCTCCTTATGCTCATCCTCACGCTGCTCCTGCTTCTCCTCGTGCTTATCCTCAACCTGCTCCTGCTTTTCCTGCTGCTGACCCTGTTCCTCATGCTGCTTCTGCTTTTCCTGCTGCTGACCCTATTCCTCATGCTGCTCCTGCTTTTCCTGATGCTGACGCTGTTCGTGACGCTGATCTCGGTGAAGCTGTCGATCAGTTGATTGCCATGTACCGGCACGGGCCACCTCTAGTGGAAGATGACGAGGGGGATGAGGAAGGGATTGAGGTCCCTGCACAGGATGCCGTTGCTGTCAGCTCTGTTGACAACATCGGCCCACTCTCGCCTTCCTCAACTTCTGGCCTCAGTTCCTCCACAAGGAGACACAGGGAAGACAGTGACGAGGAGGCTGCCGCTAAGAGGCCGCGGTGGTCTGATGAGAGCGACTCAGATTGACTCTATAATGGACGGGCTGAAAATCCTCCTGGAAACATCAGAGCAATCACTGAGTCCACATTTCGCCCGTCACCACTTCCACACCACAGCTAACAAGAACTTCACCACAGCAGAATATCTGCAGTGAACCTTTTTGTAACTGATGACTGGCCCTGTGTCTGGCAGGGTTGAACAGGCCAGATAGCGTCTTGCACTGGAACCTGTTACGTCATGTCATAGGGACGATGGATTAACCGTTTTTAATTATAATTTTTTTTTTTTTTTTTGGGGGGGGGGGGGGGGGGGGGGGCTTTTAACCCTGAGGGCTGGCCTTTGCGTCTGGCTGGGCAACCAAAGCCCCAGGTAGCCTTTGCGTCTGGCAGGACTGTCAGCACTCCAGTTAACGTCTTGCACTGGGCTTTTTGTCCTACCTCATGATTTTGGCACGATGGCTGGATCGACTTTTCTTTCATCCTGAGGACCGTCCTTTGCGTCTGGCTGGGCCGGTGATGCCTCAGGAAGCCCTTGCGTCTGGCAGGGTAGTCGACACCTCGTGCACGTGGCAGGACAGGAACCTTCCGCTTGGTCGCCTGAAGAGAGAGAGAGGCAAAAAGCTGCTGCGAAGAATGACTATAAAACAAAGCACTTCACTCTGTTACCACTAAGAAAGCTCCCTGTGGGCTGTTCTACAGGAGCAGTTAGATGTTTAGTGAAGTTCATGCAGCCAGGAGAACCTGGAGAACAACCCACCAACCCTGATTGAACAGAGGGCATCTTCTACGAGCTCCTGCCATTGACTTAACACAGACAAAAAGGTAAGTCTGAGCTTCTAAATTGTAAGCCAATTACTTATATATGAATTAATAAATATAAAGACAGAGAAAGTAATATATGTGATTGTCAAACCATGTTACCATAAAACCATAAAATATCACTCACTTAATGACTCAAAGGGAAAAAATTTAAATATGAGCTTGTAAAATGTCAAGAAAGAAATCTTAAATATTGTGTGAACTAGCTGCATACTACGCCTGATTATCCATCCAGTATCACTTATTTATCAATTAAGATTATAACACTTACTAACCATTCATTATCATTGTCTCACTGCATCACCTGAGCTGCTGCTGTCTACTGTGGACTAAAAAGTAAGTATGAGCTTCTGACTTAGCTATATATCATCACTTATTCAATCATTTGAGTTTATATTTTATTCATGTAATATTTATTATTTTGGAATTCAGAGAGATCTATTCATATTACTAACCAGTATTTATTTTTCTCTTCTCTTATCTTTCTCCACCACCTGAGCTGCTGTCGATAACAGTGGACGAAGATGGTGAGTATGAGCTCCTGACAAGAAAGTAACCTAGTATGCTACACCTGATACAGAGGTTGTAAATCCTACTAATTATTAATCATTTTCAACACCTAAGCTCACTGTGAATGAAAATAGTAGAATAGCATATAATATAAGGACAGCAAATGTAATATATGTCCTGTTATTGTGTAAACTACAAACATATACGGTATGCTACCCAATTAGACATATAATATCACTTATTCAAAACCTCTAGTTTATCTTACTAATCATTGTTTCTCTGCTGTACTCGACCACCTGAGTTGCGGCTGTTCACATAGTTTTGGGGGGGGAAAGGTGAGTGTGAGACCTAGAATTAGGTTTAAATATAAAGACAGAGAAAGTAATTTATGTTGTTGTGTAAACTCGCTGTTTGTCTGTCACCAGACTGGATGTTTCTGCAGTACTTCAAGAAAAAAGGAGGCTTACTCCCACTTTGTCCCTGCTTTCTCAACTTAACATTTGGTGCTACATTCAATAAAACACTCATGTATCCAAAGTGATTCTCTGTATTGTGAGTTTGTTTTTATGTATGGGTTAAAGTGGAACTTTTTCAATGGTGTTTTTCAGGTGTTGTAAAATGTATAGTGGCTAAACAGCTCCTAAGACAACTTTGACACCATACGCAAAAATGTTGTCTGGATTGCTTTATAGAACCCAGAATAGGTCTGAAAAAAGGTCAGAAAAAACAGGGGGGTAGGAAGATGGTCACATTGTACAGTTTGAAAGTCACTTAATACCCACATATAGTATGTAGTATGCATAACTTCTTTCTATCAACACAGATCTATGACGGAATCAATCAAGGGAGATACAGAAATGGAAAAAGTACTCAGATCGTGTACTTAAGTAAATGTACTTAAGTAAATTTAGTAAATACTACCACAAGTAACAGTTTACTTACTAATTTAAGATTTTACTTTAGTATTAGCATCAAAATAAAGTACCAAAACTACTTATGGCACATTTCTGAATAATGTATATTGATATGCATTAATGTGTACCTCACTTTAATGTTGCAGCTGGTGAAGGTGGTTTAATTACTTTATAGTTTATCTGCTGTGTAGCCTGTGAATTTTTTTATTATATTATACCATAATCTGTAATATTACATCATAATTTATTTGTTGGTTATTTTGTTATTATTGCATCTAAACTGAACTGTATAAGTATAAAATAGCAGAAAATGGAAAT